GCCCTCGGGGGCCCTGAGCCGGCTGCCCCTGCCCGGCAGCATTATCCGGGTCCACGGATAATCTGCGGCCTTGGACAGCGCCTCAGCAGCTTCACTAGCGTGGTGGGCCCTTGTGCCCTAGAGCTCAGTAAACACCGCGCGGGAGGCGGTGCGGGGAGAGGGGTTCCTCGCCTCTGTACAGGCAGCACCGTTCCCTAGGGAGAGACCGGTGGAAGAGGCTTCCCTCCTTGCCCGGGGAAGAGGGCAGTTCGGATCATCCTTCCCCGGTTGCGTGGGCACCTGCGCGTCCGCGTTAGCTGGGGCCGCCACGTCAGGGCCTGCTGCATCTTCTCTACTGGAAACCTTTCCAGTCTCTGGGTGCTGGGTTTGTTTTCACGCATCTCTGGTTTTGGTGCGTCTCCAGGAATAAACGTGATGATCCTTTACTCCCTTTTAGCCACTAGCCGGTTTTACCGCTATGGCCACGCTGAGTGTGAAGCCGGGACAGAGGTTCACCTTGCGGGACTGGCACACCAACTCTGAGCTCATCTCGGTTAACGCCGAACGCCAGCGTTCTGCTTCCCACTGCATCCGGCAGGAAGCCCGGGTTCTCCGCAACGAAACCAACAACCAGGTGGGCCTTCTGGTAGCTTGGCTGTACTCTGGGTTTGTTGGAGCAGCGGCTGGGGAGCGTGGGAGAGTGGCTGTAAATCTGGGTGGGTGGACTAGGGAGTAGGAGAGGATTTTACCCCTAGAGAGCTTCCTAAATAATTAACAAGAAAACAGTTACAAGGCGTAAGCGTATGTATGTGCAATGGTATGTCAATACTGTAATGAGATCTGGGTGTGATTCTCACATTCTTTGCTACTTGCTTGCTTTTCTGTGTTCTCCACTTGTGTAAATAATTATTGTGCCAAATGGCAACATATTGTACTCCTGTAAAAGGTCAATCAATCCCTGAAACAAGGAAAGGCTTCAGCGAGATTCACAAAAAGGAATCATGGCATTTCTCCTCTAATTCCAGACAAAATGGGATGAGCATGACAACCAAACCCGCCTGGCTGAACGTATCAACAGTGTGAACAGATGGAAGGAGACTCTGGACAAGTGCCTTGCAGACGTAGATGCGGAAATTGATGCCTTAGCCAAAGTATGTTGGGAAGACAGGTGGCTGGAAATCAACCTACACTCTCAACATGGGATATTAAACAAACGAGGCTTGTTTTCTGCAATGGACAAGCCCATGTGGAGTTCAAGGGAGGGTTTATCACAGGTATACCCAGATCAATACCTGAAGAAATTACTTCCTGAAAAGCAAGCCACCTGTGTGCTTTTAGCTGAGCCAAGCCATTTTGTGGGGTTGTACATTTGTATTCTCGTTTGCTTGTTTTTTTTAAAGCTTTGAAGGATAATGAGAAAAATATATTAGCACCATCGTTCAGAGAAGTTTGACTTTCAATAAGGAATAGCAATGAGACCTCCTTCCGATCCTTTTAGTCCTGAAGCCACAGACTGCTCCTTCTGGAATCCCTGTTCCCGAGCAAGGTGCAGTTCCCAATGTGAACAATAGATGTGCAGGGCTGGTGTGTTTGGCTCCCATAGTTCCCATTCCAGACTTGCTAAAAGGTGTCAGAATAGCAAAGAAAGGCAGTGCAAGACCCTCTTAACAAGGACATCTGTGGGTTCCCCTGCCTTTCTCCTTCCTCCAGTCCCTGAAGGAAACCCTCCACCCACTCAGCTGGCTCCTTTCTGCAGGTGAAGGAAGCAGCTGAACATGCCCTCCAGGCAAAGAACTTGCCTTTGGATGTTGCCATTGAGTGCCTGACACTCCGCGAGAGCCGCCGCGCCATCGACGTGGTGAGGGACCCCGTGGAGGAGGAGCTGCATAAGGAGGTGGAGGCGATAGAAAAGGCCAAGAGAGACCTGCAGCAGAGGACAAATGAAGCCTTCGAGCAGCTCTGGTGAGGCGAATAGCAGAGCTTTGACTGGACTCTCCCCTCCTTGCTTGGCCCCAAAACTTTAATGTGCATCTAATGCCACGCTAAGATGGGCAAGCAGGCCATCTTAGCTTATCCATTCTTACCCTGGGACACTGAGCCACTCAGAGGCGCTTTTGATGATTATTGCCAAGGTCTGTGGGGCTTGGGGCCTTGCAGGGGAGAGCATGTCACTAGGAGACTTTCTAAGCACCCTCAGAAAATTTTGGCTCTGACAAATATCTTGTGCCTGCCTTGGTTCATAAACCAGTGACCTGGAAGCATTAAAGCTCCCAGACGCTAATCCCTCATGGGTCACTGCCTTGCTGCAGGAGTGCAGGCAGCTCAGTTCACCAGGGTGATGTTAAGGTGCAGTGTGGGAGAGCTAGCCAGGCTGTAAAGCAAGTGTGCTGGAGGACCAAGTTGGACCTGGCTCACTGCTGTTACAAAGAGTAGGATCTCCTAATTCATTTTGAATAAATGAGGTTGTGATGAAAGCTTTGGAAATATGAGGGTGAACTGCCCTTTCCCTCTGCATGATCCTAGCTGACTCCAACCCTACTTTCTGCAGCCTTTTACAGGAAGCTCGCCAGCAGTTGAACTTTGATCATCGGGGCAAGATGGAAGCGCTGGAAATAGATCGAGTGTGCTTATCCCTCAATGTGAACTCTCCCAACATCTCCTTCAAGGTCAATCCAACACGGGTCCCAGACGGGTAAGGGAAGAGCCAGCCCTTTTGTGGCCAAACCCATGCTGGTACTTGAAAGCGCCTTTGGACTCTTTCCTTCCGTGTTTTATGCTGGCTTGATGGGAGCAGTTACTGGGAGAGGCCAGAATAGGAGCTGGCTGCTGGGATTTCTTGTGGCTCTTGAACTGTGAGTTCACAGACTTCTGGAAGATGAGACCTTTTTTGATCCATGTTTGTAGTGAGCTGATTGCTAGGGATGCTTACTGAGGCTCTCTTAAATCTGTCAGGGTCTTAGAGTGTTCTGTGGGTACCTTCTTACCTTACAACAGCATCAGGGTCAAATAAACGGGGTGTCTATTTTCTAATGGGGAAAATGGGAGAACAGACAGTAAACGAAACTCTAAATTGTCACCACAAGTCAGTGGCAAAAACGGAGAACCTAGCTGCCCTCTCTCGCTGATACTTGGTTATAGGCAATACTCAGTTAACAATGTGATATTAGCCTTTGGCAGAGCTGCAGGTTTTTCACTTGCTTGGCATTTCATAGCATCCTTTGCATGTGTCCCTAGTCTGAGCAGATGTTGGACTCTGCAGGAGCCGTAGGAGAGCAATCTCTGCTGGTGCACTGAGGGCATCAGACAGAGTGTGGTCTCCAGAATTTCTGAATCATTTTGTGTTGCAGAAAGCCTTCTTGGCCTGCAGCAGGTGATTGCTTTAGAACTGTCTTGCAAACACTCAACTTACTTTCGTAACTACTGATTTGTTCACAGATCAACTGCACTTCAGGACTGGGACAATTATAGCCAACGCAACAAGGACCATGCTGAGGCAGAAATGAAAGCCTCAAATGAGCTCCGGGAAGCAATAGCACTTACCATTGCCCGGGTAAATTAGTCACTTGGCTGTGAATTGGTGGCGCAGAAGTTCTGGACCCAAAATGGGAGAATGGGCTGACATGAGCTGTGGTCTGGGGGAGAGAGTCCTTGAAAAGACAAAACTAGCCACATGTGCCTCTCTGAGAGTAGTTACATGCCCTCCTAGTTTAAAAGGGGAGCTGAATTATACTGTGGAGGTTGCAACAGATTCAGCAACCTGGAAGGCTCCTACTGTCTGCCATTCTCATGTCCTTTGGCTACTGAGGGATGCATGACCTGCGTATGCATGGCAAGGGAGTTCCTTTCAGTCGCCAGAACCCAGCTCATTTTGCTCACTGGCTTGTCCCAACCTCACAGGAGGTCATGTCTCATATGATGGCCAAATTAGCAACTGCTGAGTGAGAGACCGCTTCTAGATGTGTGTGACCAGAGCCTGTTCTCTTTTCAGACGAACAACGAGCTGGAGGCTCAGCGTGTAGCTACAGAGTTTGCTTTACGCAAGAGGATTCGAGACTTGGAAAAAGCCTATGATGAGCTGAAATGGCAGGAGAAGAATGTAAGTGGTGCTTCTTTGGTTATCAGCCACGTCCGTGGGTGGGAGTTGAATCCAAAGGCTGTTTGTTACCTGGAATGCTAATTGCTCTGAGCACTTCCTTTCTGTGGCTCACATGCCCCAGCCCAGGATGCGAGAAGGACGTGGCTGACATAGCCACACTGACTGCTGCAGCTCTTGCAAAGCGCAGTGACATTGCTGAACTGCCAGCCTGGCAGTGCTGAGGGTAGCGCCTCTGGATAATTCTGCTTGTTGGGATGGGATTGACAAGCCAAAGTAGTGCTGCCACAAGGCATGCAGCTGCCCATCCTTCATGGCCTTCATGGCGAGCCAGATCCGAGTTACTGCCGCAACTCACCAACTTGCGCTTGTAAAGTCTATCTGGCAGCTGTGTTTGGATGTGAGGCGCAAGCCACGTGAGCTCAGGCACCTAGCTGTGGCTCCTCTCCCACACCTCTGGACACAGCAGGCTGGATGCAAAGATGGGTAGAGGCTCCCCAGGTACTGGGAAGGCTCTATGACACCAGTGCAAACCAGTACAAGCTGCTTGTTCCATTCCTTGGGCTTTTATCTGTCCCATTCATCTGTGAAGGGAAGAGTCTACTTTTTTAATGATGTTTCTGCACTTGCAGGGGAACACAGCTGTGGGGGAGAGGCTGCCCATAAATCTGGCACAGTTCTGTTTTAAACATAAAGGTTTCCATGTGAGAGCTGTTAAGTGGCACATGTATGAAACAGTGGAGTCGATCCCTGCAGCATCCTACCTCCCCCTGCCATCACAGTTGCTGCTTGGGCATTTCCCAGCAAGAGTGCCAGGTTTTGGCCATTATATTTCACCCCTAGTCTCATCCACTGTGGCCATAAAACACAAGCGGTACCATGCTTGATCTATGTGAAAAGCCTGATCTATGAGCAGAGGGGTTCTGAACTCTGATCAGAAGCTTGCTAGCCCTTGTTTAAAATCCATTCCCAGCACAGTAAAAACTCAGGGTGCATGGGGCTGTTTTCCAGTCTAGATCCTAACGGAACAGAGCCGTGACCGTCTCTCCTACTATATGTCTTTATCCCCAGACCTTGGAGGAAATTGCTGAGATGGAAGAGGACATTCGACGTTTGGAAGATGATCTTCGGAGGAAAATGCAAGACCTGAAACTGGCACACACTCGCCTGGAAACCCGCACGTATCGGCCCAATGTGGAGCTATGTCGGGATCAGGTACCAGACTTGCCTAGCGTGCTCCCCTCCCTGGAGGGGCTGAGGGGGAACTGAACTGGATGGGTGCTTGTGTGAATCGGAAAAATTTGGACGCACTTTGGAGCAAACTACAGAGGCACTGAGCAATGGATCCTACAGTCGCATAGCATGTCCACATAGCGTATTGTCCAAGGAAAAGCAAGGAAATAAATGTTGTAGTTGGGCTAGGAGAAGAATGAGAGAACCATGGCCACTATAAAACACCACTCTGTAGCCTTGTTAACTGTCAAGACCCTCTCCTTCGCTACCTTGCAGGTCCAGTACGGTCTGACAGATGAGGTACAGCAGCTGGAGGGAACGATCAGTGCCCTGAAGCAGAAGCTAGCGCAGGCACAGTAAGTCCCCAGTTCTCGGGCAGAGCAGTGACCCAGCCAGAGCAGTGACCCAGCATCGTAGATGGGAGGGACGTGGCCACATGCAGCCCTGGGCCTGGAGCACTTCCAGCAGCTGCATGTTTGTTCAGACCAGGAGTGGAGTTGGGCTCAGTGGAGAGCTGGACTGGGCAGCAGGGATGCAGACAAGGCCTGGCAGGGCTGTGTGATAGGAGGGTGACCAGGGGTTCCCGTGGCCCCTGTTTGCACTCAGACGTTGATTGACCAGGCTGCACAGGCAGTTCTAAAAGGGAAAAAATGAGTGAAAAGCAAAGGAAGAAATAGCTGTGCTGTTCTTCAGGCCTGACATGGGGCTCCCAGGGCACATCTCTCTGTGCTGCAGTCCAGGAGCAGCATGTGGACTTGCTATTCACAAACCTAAACAATGCTACTGCCATGCACCAAGAACTTTCTGCTGCATTAGCTCTTCATACAAAGGCAAGAGCTGCACAGATATTTATGCTGCCAGAAAGTGGGAAGTTCAGTGTTTCCTGTCCAACTTGAGAAGTGAATGCAGTGCTTGAACCTGACTCCTCTCACTTGTTCTCAGGGATGCCTTGGACGCTCTCTACAAACAACTCTACCGCATCCAGACAGATGTTGGCTACAAAGCTAATTCCCTGGTGCTAGAAAACAAGTGCATAGACAGCCGGAGAAAGCTCACAGTCCCTGCCGAGAAATTTGTGCCAGAGGTTGACACCTTCAACCGGACCACGAACCGTACACTCTCCCCGCTGAAGAGCAGGCAGTTGGAGCTGGCTTAGTGTGCTGTGGCATGTTGTGCAATGAGCCACACCAAAGAGAAAGCTACCAGTGACTCAGTTCCGTAGCAAGAAAAATGGACATCTGTGTCATGTTAGGATAATGTAATTCTCTTCCCTCCCCCTGGTTTGTTATATAACTGTCTGTCCCCTTGTATGATGTTTATAGCCTCTTGCACTCTGAGGAGCATTATAAACAATATAGAGTCTGTCCCCAAGAGCAGTTGTCATCTGAATGTGTTGGAAGCATTTCACGGTGATTGAATCCATCTGGACTCTTTAGTGCTTTAAGTCCTTTAAAGTGCAAGGTTGTGCTCTGAAAAGGGACTGTGTAACAGTGGCAGCATGCCAGATCTGCTCTGTGGGTGTATTGACACAAGTCTGCTCGCTTTAATGATTAAAGTAAAGTTTGGGTTGGGATTTCCCCCTGCCTACTAGCCTTGCAGAGCTCTAACACAGCTACAAAAGCAAGAGCTGGAGTCCATTCTGGCTCCTGTGGCAAGAGACTTGTTAAAATTGAATTGCAGTGATCACATTCTGCCATGAGTTACTGTTTCTATTCCAGGCACGCTCCCAATGTGCTAAATATTGCATGCACTCCCTGGGAAACAGAGTCCCTGCCCCAGAGACCTTACAAGCCAAATTCCTGCATGTGCAATCAGGATCAGAATTTGGCCTGCTCTTCCTCCCTGAGGTGGGAGATGATGCTCAGTGAAAGCCCCCAAAGAAAAGAGCCTGGATTGACTCTTAAGAGTAAGTTCTGATAACGAGGAACGGAGAAAAATCAATGCTTCCCTTCCTGTAAGCTGGGAAAGAAACTAGCAGGTTCGGAGCAGCTCTTTCCAGCCAGGCGCTCTTCAGGTGAGCCGCTGCCAGAATCTAGTGCTTTAGAAGTCATCCAGTGCTTCGACGCTGTGAGGCATTACACACAGGTGGGTGCTGTGCCAGTGCCTCGTATCTTGTGTAGGTAGGGTGGGAGGATGCATCCCTCCTACGCCCTGTGTGTGCAGCCCACCCTCCTCGCGCACCCCTCCTGCACCGCCAGGTACCCCCCTGTCCCCTCGGTACCCCCCATGCATTCTTCCTGCCCCCCATGATTGCATTAGCTCCATGCACCCCTCCCGT